TAGTTTAGGTCATTTCTATCTTAACGTGGTAGAAAGAAAGTGATACCCAAGGGAGCTGATCAATAAAGTATAAGAAGTTTCTAGAATGAGCAAATTAGTTTAAAAAACATATTTTGCAGCTTCATAGATTTTGTTGGCATTATCTAAACAGAATCTGATAGAACATGTTGCCTAATTACTCATGACTTCTGCAGGCATATGTGTGTGGAGTGTCTGTGTGTGTGTGTACACTTTAGTAAGTTCTGTGAAAGCACCTGACTATAAACGATTTAATTGAGGTATTGTTCTAATCATTTAAGCTTCCCTAAGCAAAAATTGTTTTGTCTTTTTGAACGATGCGTCAATATGAGCAAATCTACTAAACGCCTTTCACTGAAATTCAGTTATTCACATTGGTCTTATGTGATCAGAAAATAAAATTTCAGAATTTACTCCTCTTTGCTTCATGTTGTAATTTACTATATGAACTAATAGTAATAATGTTTCACATCCTAACAATTTTAGATATGCACCTATACACAGGCGTTACAGTATCACCACTCCTATTTCTTGATAGCCCTGTTTTCCCCCTCCCCCCAGCCTCCAGGAGACCATGCCATATTTGAAAGCACTTTTCCCTTTTATCTTCTAGATGCCTTGTTCCTCCTCCCATTGGCAGAAAGCCCCGTGTTCTGGGACCTGCGGGGTGGACACATGTTCTGCTGAGTGCCAGTCTCTCCCCTGACTGTGTAAGTGATACCGAGATCTTGTGATCACAAGCAGCTCATGCTCCTGAGGGCATATGAGGCCTCTCTTTTCTGAGAAAGTCCAGAAAGGGAGAGGCCAGTGTATGGATTTCCATGAAAAACCTCTTGTCAATGAGTCCAGTTATAGCTTTCCCAATAGGACAGTACAATTGGACAGAAGTCAAGGAGATATATGATATCTCCATTTAGAAAAATATCAAATTGCTGATTAATAAAGTACAACCAAGATGATAATACTGCTTTAAGATGCTGATTAAGTTAATATGTAATTTAAATATCCGTTAAAAATCTGATGTTTAAATAATCAAATGATTGACCTGAAAAGTAAAAATCCAGGTATATAAGCAAAAAATTTATTTTTTAATTTTTCAAGTGATTGTAAAACCATAGATAAGTTGTGGATTTTTTTTTTTGACTGATGATCAAATAAATAACTCATAAGTTGATTTCATAGAATAAAGCTATAAGAATTTAATATAGGATAAACTAGAATTATTACTATAAGACAACTAACTAATGATGAGTTTTGGCACCCAAAAATGGTGCAGGGGAAAATGAAATATGGAGAAAAATAAAGTTGGAGTCTCCTTATAATATATAATGTAGAATTAGACATTTTATTTATTTTTAATTTTAATTTTTTTTTAATTTTAATTTTTTTAAGGTTTATTTACTTATGCATAGAACTGGTGTATAGGCCAGGGATCAAGGGGGTGGGGGACAGGGTAAGAGGATTCACCAAAGACAGAGGGGGAAGCAGAATAGGCAGATCTACTGAAATACACTGCTGAGGAGAGCAGCAGGCGAAACAGGAGAGGTCTGCTGAGCCATGTGGGTTAGCTTCCTTGTCTGGAGATGGAATGCAGGGTGCAGGGGTGATAATGCTGAGAATTAACCCCTCTGCCATTAGGGAGGCCTGCAGAATTAGACATTTTAAAAAGAACTACCAAAAGAGGTAGAAGGAAATAGAGTATAAATTAGGGCAAAAAGACTGATATAGCTATAAATGAGATTTTTTAAATCAGAACATGAAGCATATCATTATATTATGGAAATGCTCATATTCAAATCTGTGGTAATTTAATAACACATTTAGACCAATGTAATAAAATTTTATTTTATTTTTAAAGATTTATTTATTTATGCATACAAGAGCTGGGGTACAGGCCAGAGATGTGGGGGGTGAGAGGATTCACCAGAGACAGAGTGGGGAACAGAACTGCCCCATGTGGGTTTCTCCCTGGCTGACTGGGTGGGTATCCAGTGCTGCAGAGGCTGCGGATAGCTTCATAGTGCGGTGCTTAACCCCTTGCGCACCAGGGAGGTCAATAATAAATATTTTAATATGTGTTTATTTCAATATCACTTTTAAAACAATGTGATTTAAAAAAGTGAAAAATACTCAACATATATTTATTGTCTTAGATATATAAGGAATTGTTGTATAGAGAATGTGGGGTACGTTATAGTTCTGTGGCAGGGGTAAAAAGGAGACTGATACATGTACATGAAATTTAGTTGCTGTGTGATCAAATAAATGGTCACAATTGCTTTGTGAAGGAAAAGAATTGTAAATATAGATAGATATTATACTTTCAGTCCGTATCTGATCAAAGACGATTAAAAGTTTATACAAAAAGAAAACCCTGAAAAATTAAATTAAATCATATGAAATATATACAGTTTGATGGTAATTAAAGGGGTGCAAGTTGGAATTCATGGCACAAAGAACTGAAAGATGCTTTTAAAAGAAATTCAGTGTTGGCCTCCCTGGTGGTGCAAGGGGTTAAAACACAATCTATGAAGCTATCCGCAGCCACTGCAGCATGAGTTTGATCCCTGGCCAGGGAGATACCCACATGGCTCAGCAGACCTCTCCTGGCTCACCCACTGCTCCCCTCAGCAGTGTATTTCAGTCCATCTGCCTGTTCTGTTCCCCTGGTGAATCCTCTCAACCCCCCACAACTCTGGCCTATACCCCAGTTCTTGTATGCATAAATAAATAATTTTTTTTTAATTCAGTGTTAGAGGAGTGAGTCTATATCCATATTCCTGAAGAGCAGTTTCTCAATATTCAACAGTATCTAAAAAATAACTTTTTAAATGTTCAATTACCCATGCCATTTCAGGACAACATATGACAAAGGAAAAACTTACAGGAGAAAATGAAATTTGTGCAGAAGTGTTTATGTAACAGCAATATTCTTCATAATAAGGATAAGACACATCTACAGGAAAATGATTTAGACACCTGCTCTCTGTTAATAGGATGGAATACAGTAGTCTATTATAATTTTATTTATTTATTTATTTTTAAAGATTTATTTATTTATTTATACATACATGCACTGGGTACAGTCAGAAGCGCGGGAGGGTGAGAGAATTCACCAGAGCCAGAGCGGGGAGCAGAGCAGGCAGAAGGACCGAAGCACACTGCTGAGGGGAGCAGCGGGCGGCAGGAGAGGTCTGCGCGCCATGTGGGGCCCTCCTCCGGTGGCCTGGGAGCAGCCGGGGATCGAACCTGCGCTGCAGAGGCTGCGGGCAGCTTCTCAACCCAGCACTCAACCACTGCGCCATCAGGGAGGCCCTATTATAATTTTAAATGACTAGCTTTTGGATTATGTTGACCCATAAAAATCTAGAGGGGAAGCTGTTGTGATAAAGCAAGCTAAACAAGTGACAAATAATATCAGTTGCTGGACTGTTAGGCTCTTTGGGACAAATCATATCTTATATTGAATCATAGTCCCTGGTAAACAATCCATGCTGATATTTGCTAAGTGAATACACAAATGGCTTTTCAGTTTATCCTGTATCCTTGACCTTCTGCCTAGTCTGACCTCTGGCGACTTCGCATTTAATTATCATACTGCTCACCTGGATTTCCGAACTCTACTCTGCCCCAAACTTGAATAAACACATACCTTTTGTGGTCTTGGCACCCAACTAGTGACCTCTCCTCTACTGAAGTCTCAAGGCCCAGGGTGACACACAGCTGCAGCTCAGTAAACACCTAACACCATGTCTACATTCATCAACAAGCCCGTGGGGAAAAAAATGAATGGACTTTGTCAGATGAACATTAACAAACATAGGAAGGGAACTGAATGTCTAAAACTAACCAAACTCATTCTAGGGGAGGTAACAGCTGTATTTGAAAACCTGTATGATTATGTGAACCTCCTGACGCAAAAGTTAAGGAAAATTAAAACTCGTAGTAATACATTTTTAAAAACCAATCTATTACAGGCAGTTCCTTAGGACTAGATAGCCAATTTCTTCCCTAACTCTGGGTGCCTATTAAAAAGTGCAGATACAAGCATTTAGCCTGTTACTTTAACATTCTGGTCATCCTTCTACTCGGATGGATGCTTGAGAACATTCTGCCCAGAATATATGCTGAGATTCCATGGAGAGCAGAGTGGTACATCAACCCTTCACGGGATTTACAAAAGACATGTCCTACATGGTCCTTATTAGTGTCAGGATGCTGGTATCATGGGGTGACTCAGATCTAACAGGCAGGCAAAGTGTGTACACACACACACACAGACACACACACGCTCACACATGCGCCTTGCTAAAACAAGCCTTTCCTGGTAGCATAATGCCAGGGACATAAATAATTGTGAGCAGACTGAATGGCTGAATGGGAAGAAGAAGGCATTCAGCAGGTTGCCAGCTATAGGAGGAAATCACAGCGTCAAGGGACATTAGTATTTCTTTTAGAAGATCTTAATTTATTTGTGAAAGCACTCCACTCTGAAGAGGCCCCGATCCAAGTGGCAAGCTCTGGAGAGAGGCACCGTTACCAAGGAGAAGCAGGGAACACGGAGTCCGAAATCCACTGGCCAGAAGCTGGCCTTGCAGGCCTGAGGTTAAAGCGCCCAGCTTGAGGCACCGGCCGCGCCTCTGTGCCCAGGTCGGCCTAGGTCTGAACCTCCTTGTGCTATAAATACAGCGGCCCGCACGCCGCAGAGACACGGTGTTCCCTCGGCTCTCCGGGACAGATAACATGAATTTGCCCTTTAAATGTCCCGAGCTGAAGGCACAGCCCCCAGCCCATCCCAGCCTCCAGCGAGCGTCTGCGCCCCGGTTGCCCTCTGCAGAAGAGGGGGCCGGCGCAGGGGGGGTCCGCGCACCTGCCCAGCCAATGCGCAATGCGCGCACTGGCCCGGGGTCCCTCCTCCTCTCGCGAGAGACCGGGCGGGGGATATAAGGAGGGCTGCGGGGCGAGGCGAGCGGCCCCTTCGCGTCGCGGTGCCTGGCCGGGCAGAGGCGAGAGCGAGAGCGCGGCTCCTGCAGGCGGTGTGCGCCCGGCTGTCATCATGGGTGATCAAGCTTTGAGCTTCGTCAAGGACTTCCTGGCCGGCGGCATCGCCGCTGCCGTCTCCAAGACCGCGGTCGCCCCCATTGAGAGGGTCAAACTGCTGCTGCAGGTTAGGGCGCGCGCGCGCGGGCGGGGGCGCCGGCCTGGGGCGCTGGGGGCCGGCGGGGCCGGGCGCGCGGGATGCGGGCGAGCCGCGGCGCCCGGGGACTACGGGGGCGGGGGAAGCTGCAGAAAACTGCCCCAAATCTGTGCTAGGCCCCAAGCCCCGGCCTACGTAAAGGGGAAGGTGCCCTCTGCGTAGACAGGTCCAGCGTCAATTGCAGATTCCTGGTGTCAGGTGGCACCCGGCGTTCGGGTGTCTATATATGGAAACCCACCCCGAGTGGGTTGCAGCCAGCCAGATCCTGCTCCTGGGATAGCGCTGGCACTCGACTTAGGCCTCTTAGGTCGGCCTCACCTTTGGATTTGCAGTGTCTCTTGCACCATCTGATCTGCACCCACCCATCTTTTACAATAAAGGCATCGAAGTAATTGTTACTCAAGAACTCGCTGACTGTGCCCTATGCGCTGTGCTGTAGGCTGATGCATATTTTGATTCGTCTTTATATAACCTGTGTAAGAGAGGCATTATTCCCCTCATTTGACAGATGAAGAACCAGGCTTTGAGAGATTAAGAAATAATTTTTGGCATCAGCTGAGATGTCTTACTCATCCAGTCGCCCAGTATTTACTTTCCCAGCCAGGTCTCTGAATGACAAGGCATCATCATCATTCCATCTATTCTGTTTTTCTCCAGTTTCCCAAAAGGCTAAGGCCTCTCAATGAGGAATTGGGACTTTTCAGTTTGGGTGTCAAAACGATCAACAACAAAATTCCCAACAAATTGCTCACAAGAGCCACAAGCCCCCAATAATTGATTACCAGGAGAATTTGCTTGAAAAATCCCAGGCTCTGATGCCTAGTAGAATGATTCTCGCCTGTTAGAGCATCTACTAGAAATCCTGGTCTCCAGGGAGATGAGAGTGAGGCTAAGAAATGGCTCTCTCCTGCCCGTGGTGCTCATAAAATTGGGGCAAGTGTCCTTCAGGACAGAAATCTTTAATCATTTCTGTCTCCCAGGAAGATCCTCATACAGTCCAGCATCTAGGAAAAAGGCAATAAATAAACGGCCTGTCTTGACAATGAAATTATCTTTTCAGTTTGTTTAGGGCCGAACCTTTTTTCTCAAATGCCTGGAAATTGATGCAAATTTGGAAATATTTTTGTCATCCAAGTAGCATGTTTGCATTTACTCAACAGCCATTTGATTTCCCCATAGGCTTTTTAAAAAGGAAGTCAAGGAAGTGCAAACCTTTCTCTCCTCTTTCCTCTCCCCTCTGCCCTCCCTGTCCTCTGCCGCCCCTCCCCCCACAGGTCCAGCATGCCAGCAAACAGATCAGTGCTGAGAAGCAGTACAAAGGGATCATTGATTGTGTGGTGAGGATCCCTAAGGAGCAGGGTTTTGTCTCCTTCTGGAGGGGTAACCTGGCCAATGTGATCCGTTACTTCCCCACCCAAGCTCTCAACTTCGCCTTCAAGGACAAGTACAAGCAGATTTTCCTGGGAGGTGTCGACAGGCATAAGCAGTTCTGGCGCTACTTTGCCGGTAACCTGGCTTCCGGTGGGGCAGCTGGGGCCACCTCCCTCTGCTTTGTGTACCCGCTGGACTTTGCCAGGACCAGGTTGGCTGCCGACGTGGGCAAGGGTGCCTCTCAGCGTGAGTTCAGTGGTCTAGGCGACTGTCTCACCAAGATCTTCAAGTCTGATGGCCTGAGGGGTCTGTACCAGGGATTCAGCGTGTCTGTCCAGGGCATTATTATCTACAGAGCTGCCTACTTTGGAGTCTATGACACTGCCAAGGGTGAGAGGAGGGTGTTTGAAGGGGTGGGGTGGGGTGGAGGGGAGAGGAGGAGGTGGAGGGTGTGTGTAGAGATGATCCTGACAGATCTGTGACTCATAAAAAAGGACTTTATATTTATTAATCTTGTTTTTTTCTAGTCCCTGGGTTAAACTGGTGTGGATAAGTAGCTAAAGGGTTCTCCCTGCCCTCTGCTGGAGTAAACTCTGGCCATGAGTTATCCAGAGAGGAAGAAAGAGGTGCACGTCTCCCTCTTGCCATAGCTCTGTCACTTACGACTTTAAGTTGGTACCACTTGAGCATGACCTGTGGACCGAGCAGAACTCTGGCTTCCCTGAATCCAGAAAGGGTAGCCACCGACTTTATTGGCTACCTGGTTATTTTCGAGGTGCCCCATAAGGGACAGTTTCTTCTGGAAGGGTGGGGCGTGGAATTGAAGGTATGGTAGCCTCTTCTCAGTCCCCATTTGCTTTCTGCTGAGCTGCTGGGAGCAATCACATCATAGTCCTTTGGCCTTTTGGCTCTGCCCACAGGGATGTTGCCTGACCCCAAGAATGTGCACATTATTGTGAGCTGGATGATTGCCCAGAGCGTGACAGCGGTGGCAGGGCTGGTGTCCTACCCCTTTGACACTGTTCGCCGTAGGATGATGATGCAGTCCGGCCGGAAGGGGGGTAAGCCGGAGACCTACTGGTCTTGATCTTATTTATCTGCCCGAGGAGAACACTTTTCACTGCTCTTTTCAGTCTTTATTATTCTCATTGTTATAATTATGTGATAAGAATATAGGAAAGAAAGATTATAATTAACCTCCTCTAACATTCTCAGCTATTCCTTTAAAGTTTTTGTTTTTAAGTGATAAAAAATGAGATCTTTAGAGGTGAACCTAACTAAATATCTAGAATTATAAGGGCCTTCAGCCTTTTCCTCTGAGAAACTGAGTGTAGAAGTAGCAAAAAAGAATTGAATTAGCTAGCTTATTTAAAAACGATTCTTGCTTCTCTAGCAAGGTGTTAGTGGGGACGGCGATTTAGCTGGATGAAAGAGGCCTGAAGTAGTCTGTTGCCATAGGGGGAAAAAATGTGGCTTTTCTAGGTTGAAACATATAAAATTGCTGTTTTTAAAAGTCAAAGCCACAAATGTTACCAGTTTCCTCTGTTCCACCTAAGAGCCGGTGTTAAGTGTGTAATATGAGACTAGGCCTCGGTTTTCTCATCCATACAGCAAGGGATGAGCCAGCTTTTAATTCCACTCTGCTCCTTTCCTGTTTTACATTTGGACAATCTAAAGTAGTTGGTTAATTACTCCAGTTCTTCCGTTGATCTTGAGTCAAAGGAGCAGGAATGACAGGAGATCCTGCCTAACAGTTATGCCAGAAGGAAGGGGGTGTCCAGGTGAATATTACAAGTGGGGCTTAAAGCTTAAGGCCCCTTACTTTTCAGAGGAAAAGTTTCTTTCCTCCAGAATTATGGAGCCCTTACCAGCTTTTGTTTCCACAGCGGATATTATGTACACTGGGACACTAGACTGCTGGCGGAAGATTGCAAAAGATGAAGGTGCCAATGCTTTCTTCAAAGGGGCCTGGTCCAATGTACTGCGAGGCATGGGCGGTGCTTTTGTATTGGTATTGTATGATGAGATCAAAAAGTATGTGTAATGTAATTAAAACTCAAGTTCTTTGATTTCAGATCCATTGTGTGGTTTAATAGACTTTTCCTAGGGGAAGTAAAAAAGAAGATCTGGGGTAAAACCAGACTGAAAGGAATAGCTCGGGAAAAAAGTACTTGAGTGTTCATTAAACCACAAATGTATTTTGTATTTATTTTACATTTAAATTCCCATGCAAATATCCAACAACATCATACTTATATAATTAATTGAATAACTGATGAATAACTGAATGTGACACATCAATAAAGACCACTTAATGCATGTTCTCTATTTTATTGAATTATTAACTGCAAATGGATTAAAAACTAAGACCATAAATGCATATTTTCTAGCATGATTCATTTATAAATCAGTGGCCAAGATTCTAAATGTCAGACATTATGCTATGTATCGTATGAGTCCTACTATGCTCAAAGTTCTGGTTTTCAAGCTTAGCTTAAGCAGGTTATACATTATCTGACCTCATGTCATATGTCGCTGCAGGTTCCAAAGTGTAACATGGGTCACGGCTTCCATAATCACACAGGCTTCAGTTCCAAAGTTTCACTAAAAACTTAAATCAGAGTTGTAGGAGTTTTGCAGGATGAATAAGTGTTCTGTTTTAGTACCTTTTAAGAAACGTGATACTTAGAATTTTATGAGGAGTGAACAGTAATCATTGCAGATCAGTTGGTAGGCTGTGTGGAAGATACAAAAACATATGAACCCATGCTGATGGCAGCTTAAATAGGGGTAGGAGAGAGGGATGAAGTGGCATTGTTAAATCGTCTCATGTTTAACACAATGGATCTTGGTTGAGCAGAACTGGGAGGAGATGAAATGGAAGAATGATAGAAGGGGGACTTGGAAAAAATAAATAAATAACACCATTTAGATATCTGCCACCGTTAGAATGTAGGTGTATAGAGTATGTACACGGTAACTGCCATTATTTCCCTATAACAGTTCTTCAAGACCTAGAGGAAAAGTCAGTTATGGATTTGACTGACAAATTTGTGAGCAAGAAGGAAAGAATTAAATTTCAAGTTGGAAATTAAATGCTTTTGATCCAGGAAACCAAACAGTTCAGATAGTCCTTGCTTTCAGAGAGTGATTTGAAGGAGACAGGACAGGTGGCTTGAGGGGCGTGGGCCTCTCTACCTTATGTTCTTTACCCTCCTTCCCAGGCTCTTTTACCTATGCACTCCTGCCTTCCCAATTTAAAAAAAAAGGGGGGGAGGGGCTGCATTGTTTTTTCCATAATTTATTAAAAAATTGACTTTTTTTTTTTTTTTTAACCATATCCAAGGTAAGACACTAGTAAGACACCACAGACAGTCCCTCCCAACCCCACCTCAAGGCCAGGTCACAAATGTGTGTTGTCAGAGGTCTTCTGGGTATATTGTTTTCCTGCTACTTTCCATTCTAAGGATGATATGGATGGTCGAGATTCCACTTTTGAGAGAGAATGATGAAAAGCAGGACAGTCCAGTGGGACAAATACTTTTGTGGAGCAGATCCCAAAGTAAAGCCAGCCCTTTTCAGTATTTTCACACCTGAGAATTTAGGTGAGGGGGACACTTTGACAAATTCGTTGCTTTGAAAGCAACAAATAAACCGTGGGTCTTCCCAGGCCAACCAAGAAGCAAAATTGTTTTCTAGTCTTCTTTAACTTGGTCCCTCCTGGCATGGCAGGGAAGGGAAGAAGGAATCAATATCTATTAAGTAGTGAGTAATAGTACCTGCTGCGTGTGTCCCTGGTGTCTCCCCAGCCCTGCTCATTTTACCTCGATGCACTTGATGCACTTGCGGAATGGAGAGCCCCGCTGAGCCAGCTCCTCTCTGTGGTGGCTGCGCTCACCAGGAACTCCTAGAACACTAGGGCCTCTGAAGGCTTGTGGTACACTGGCCCCTTGACCACCAGTACTTCCCTTTCCAGCCTCTTTGTAAGCCTCTCACCATCTCTCTGTCCAACTTAAAGGTTTGGAGAGATGAAAACAGGAGACTAATAACTTGGAATCGAGTCTCCCACCCCCCCGAACTTCTCCCTAGCCCTTTTCCCACCAAGCTCTCCCTAAAAGCAGGCCCCTTAGCACCAGCCTTCAAAAAACCCTTTTTATTTTTAATTTGTTTTCTCTCTTAAAGTCTCACCTATCAGCATCTTCAGTCTTTTGTCATCTTACTTTATAATTTGAATGTATGAGGAAAAACTATGGAGGATGATGGTCTATAACATTCACTGGATGCTAAAAGAAAGCTTGCTTCAATTGTGTTTCAATCTCAGTTAAATGAATAACTGTTTCCATTCCATTTTACTTTATGTAACATAAGTAGCAAAAGTCATGCTGAGGAATTATTTACAAACACCTACTATGGGCCAGGTCATAGGGCACATTTGCTCTGTGAGGCAATGACTCAGCTTTTTCACAGCCACCCTGCCTGTAACCTAGAAGAATGCCTCTGGCACAGAAGGTGGTTAATAAGTATTTGCTGAATGCAAGACAGAGTGAGAAGGAAAAGCTGCATCTAAAAACACTGATGAAGAACCTGGATAATAGTGGCAGAAGGTATGTCCTCCAGTGTAGGTGGATCCTGAACGTGCAGAGGGTGGTACGAATGGACAAGTACGTTGGAGTTATAATTTAATGGATGAAAATTTATGATGGCCTTAAATTTTAATTTCAGGTTCTTAAATACAATTGAACAGCCAATCATGCCATAGATTCCATTTACTTTCCTGCTTCTCTTGGACATCAGATTTTTTAGCAATCCTTAATGAAGTTGGCCCTCATTCACAGACTCCATATTTGCAAATTAGCCTTCTCCAAAATTTACTCCTAACCCCTTTGAGTTTGTGGACATGCATGCAGTGCAAACATGCTGTCATAGCTGAGGTCAAGCAAGGTTATTATGCTCTGGCTTCTTGTCTCAGTTCTCGCATTCTAAAAACTCTTTATCATCTATTTATTGCTATATATTTCATATTTTTGTGCTATTTTGTTGGTGAATCACTATCTAAAATGGCCTCCAAGAGTGGTCTGTCTGAAGAGCTATATTGTGTCCCTAAGTGCAAGAAGGTTGTGATGTGTCAGCTGGAGAAGGTGCATATGGTTAGATAAGCTCCTCTCAGGTACAAGTTGTAATACTGTTCAGCCTATGAGTTCAAGTTAATGAATCAAAAACAGATACTAAATATGGCTCTTTAAACACAGACATACATGTGGATCAGTTGACAAAAACATGATCAGAGACTCCTGAGTCTGTTTTTTCCCTGGAGCAATGGTTCAGTATTTGCTAAGTCAGCGTTCCCGGTAACATTAATCAGATATAACGACCACAAATGAGAACTGACTGTTCTGAAATTTGAATTTCAATTAATTTTTATGACAAAATATTCTTTTGATGTTAAAAAAAGTAAAATGATTGATTCAAACAGGCACTGGACTGCTAAATGTGGTTTTATGACCTCTTTATCTAGAACTTCAAGTTTTTCCTACCATTTTCCACATAAACAACCAAAACCACAAATGTTAAAACATCCTATTGAAATATATTCTAGGGCCTCCCTGGTGGCGCAGCGGTTGAGCGCAGGGTTGCGAAGCTGCCTGCGGCCTCTGCGGCGCCAGTTCGATCCCCAGCTGCTCCCCGGCCACTGGAGGAGGGTCCCACATGGCGCGCAGACCTCTCCTGCCGCCCGCTGCTCCCCTCAGCAGTGTGCTTCGGTCCTTCTGCCTGTTCTGCTCCCTGCTCTGGCTCTGGTGAACTCTCTCACCCTCCCGCGCTTCTGACTGTACCCAGTGCATGTATAAACAAACAAACAAACAAACAAACAAATAAATAAATACATGCCTCTTTAAAAAAAAAGAAAAGAAAAGAAAAATATATTCTAGGTGAACTGCCTAAGTGTGAAGGACAAAATTTCTAGGAGATAAAGTAGAGCATCTTCTTAGCCCCAGGTAAATAAAATTTCCAATAAATCCAACATTTAAAATAAGTACTCACTGTAAAAGAAAACAATGATGAGCTGAAATAAAGTAAAACTAAGACTTTCTGTTCAGAGACACCTTTCATTGTGAAAAGGTAAACCAGACTAGGAGAAAATACTTGTAACATAACTCACACAGAGATTATATTTTATCTCAAACTTTAAGTGTCTCTATAAATCAACAAGGAAAACCCATTCAACCAACAGAAAAATAAGACAAAATCTTCAATAACCAATTCAGAAAATATAGCCCAGTGGCCACTAGACATGAAAAAGCGTTCGATCTGATTATTAGAGTAATGCAGTTAAAATCACAATGATATGCTATTACAAATACAAATTTTTAAACCTTAAAACTAAATTATTAGGGCCTCCCCGGTGGCGCAGCGGTTGAGCGCTGGGTTGCGAAACTGCTCGCAGCCTCTGCAGCGCTGGTTCGATCCCCGGCTGCTCCCCGGCCACCGGAGGAGGGTCCCACATGGTGCGCAGACCTCTCCTGCCGCCCGCTGCTCCCCTCAGCAGTGTACTTCGGTCCTTCTGCCTGCTCTGCTCCCCGCTCTGGCTCTGGTGAATTCTCTCACCCTCCCACGCTTCTGACTGTACCCAGTGCTTGTATAAATAAAATAAATAAATAATTTAATTAATTAATTAAAAAAAACTAAATTACTAGTGAGGATGTGGAACAATAGGAACAAATATACTTCTCTGGGAGAGTAAATTGGTACACTCACTCTGTAAAATCTACTAAATAATATATTATAAATAACTCCATGACAGAGGAACTCTACTCTTAAGAATACAAACTCCATATGCAGGTAATAAAGGCACAGCTACAAAAATCTTTATATTAACATTATTTATAATAGTCAAAACTTAAAAACTACCTCAAATGTCCATCAACCACAGAATGTATAAATAAATCCTGGTATATGATACACTAGAATATAGTGATACACAGAAATGAGAACAAAATTCAGTTGCATACAAAACAAGAAAAATCTCACAAACACAAGTGTTGAGTGAAAGCAGACAGACACAAAAGAAGTTGTAATTCTATTTATGTCACATTCAAAAATGGGTAAAACTACACCCTGGTGTTACGTCAACAGTGTCACTTTTGGGCAGGCAAAGAGGGTAATAACTGGGAGGAAGCCCCAAGGGGTTGAATGAGTTCTGGCAATCATCTAATTCTAGATCTGGTTAGTGGTGACCCAAGATGTTTGCTTTGTGACAATTTATGTGGGGCACCTTTATATGGTGTCCCTGTCTGTATTTCTGTATTACTTTGATAGTTAACAAAATTATGGAATGTCATTTTTTAATGAATATTCACATGAAGACCATGCTCCTCTCACATTCCCAAAAATACCATTTAAAATGAAATCCTAAAACAAAATGAATCAGAAACATCACCCTAAGATGATTTAAAAAGCATGTAGCTATCCAATGTAGTTCTCTCTTAAACCCATATATTATATTATTATCCTAACTGAAATGTCAACTATCTTGGTTGATAAATAAGTGGTGGCATTAAAAAAAAAATAACTCTTTTCTGAGGGTCAACTATCTATTTACTATTAAAAAATATCTTTTTTTTTAAGATTTATTTATTTATTTATACAAGCACTGGGTACAGTCAGAAGCGCGGGAGGGTGAGAGAATTCACCAGAGCCAGAGTGGGGAGCAGAGCAGGCAGAAGGACCGAAGTACACTGCTGAGGGGAGCAGTGGGCGTGGCAGGAGAGGGCCTGCGATTGAACCAGCGCTGCAGAGGCCACGGGCAGCTTCGCAGCCCAGCGCTCAAGCACTGCGCCACCCGGGAGGCCCTATTAAAAAATATCTTAATGTCCCCCAAGTTTCTGTAATATGTTCCTTCCAATCTCAGGTAAAATGGAGGAAAAAGTATTGTCATAGAAAAAAAAATTAAACTTCTCAAATAAATGGCAGAATTAGGCTTTTTTTTTTTTAGTTAGTATACATAACTGCATGGGAAGCAGACATATTTGCTTGAGTCTGCATAGTGTCTTCATGAAATATAAAGATCCTCAGAATGAAACAAAAAGCACACTCCAAACTTGAAAATTAGTTATAATCCACTAATTAATAAAATGTGGTGGGTGATTTTAGTGAACAATGTTGTTGTAACAAAACATACAGTAAGAATTTGGAAACATAGTTTTTAATCATTTTATGGTGACTATTCAAATTCTTTTATTATAAGTGGCTAAAAATTAGGTTATTAAAAAGGTCTGTGTCTTATCAAATAATGATAAAATGACCTATTACTTCATTAACTTTTACTTCCTAAACAAGTGAATCCTTTAAAATGTCATCTAGAACAAATAGTGCAACTTACCTGAACTTACAAAGTAGATTTTGAAATCAAGGCATAGAACATTGAGACTGTTCTATGGTGACTCCAGAAATCTAAGTAGATGAAAAACAATCACCAGAATTTAAAAAGACTAAAATTTGCTTCTATACTGTAATCTAGTTTGTTCTAAGCATTCTTTAATTTCATAGTTGAAAGTTCAAATATACAACTGCAGGAGTTACTTAGTGATTTATTGCAATGTGTTATTAAACTCTCACCAAAATTACTCAAGTGCGGCCTCCCTGGTGACGCAGGGGGTTAAGCACCACACTATGAAGCAATCCGCAGCCTCTGCAGCAGAAGTTCGATCCCCAGCCAGCCAGGGAGCAACCCACATGGCGAAGCAGACCATTCCTGACTCTCCCTCTGCTCCCCTCAGCAGTGTACTTTGGTCAGTCTGCCTGTTCTGTTCCCTACTCTGTCTCTGGTGAATCCTCTCACCCCCTGCATCTCTGGCCTGTACCCCAGCTCTTGTATGCATAAATAAATCTTAAAAAAAATTACTCAAGTAGTGTTTGTTTTGGCAGCACATATACTAAAATTGGAACGATGCAGAGATTATCATAGCCCCTGCGCAAGGGTGACATGCAAATTCACTAATTGTTCCATATTTTTATGGAGCCGGACTTGGCCAGAGAGACTGGGAACAGGGAAGCAGCATAGCCAGACACTGGCTTTAATCACCCTGCCATGATTTTGGTTATTTCTTTTTATTTGAATTTCAGTCATTTAATAAACCTGCAATGAACCCTCCCCCCAAAATTCCTAAACTGATGTTATAATTACAGTTTTCAAAAGAGTATCACTCATGATACATATTATATGTGAATTATTGATGTGGGTAGATGTTTTAAAAATAAACACCATTTTTCAAGCTAAAAAATGTGTCTATGGTAGTAGCTTAATAACAATTTTATGGAACAAATTAGATGATGTGGTTTAAAGAGATGATCAAGAATGCAATTTTTTAATTTATATACTTTTTTTTTACATCGTAGTTCCTCTCAGATGTAATCCCCACAGAATTCCCACCACCAAGTCCCCCCTGAACATCACCATAGTCTCTTATGCTCTTCCTCCCCTCTTCTGATCCCTCTCCCTCCCTTTCCCCTGCTGAATGTCTCTGATTTACAATAATGCAATTTATAGCAAACTCTTTCCCACATAAATGTCACTTTCAAAGATAGAAATAACACCACCCCGTTCCAACTACATTCTTAGTTTTGTAAGGTCCTTAAGTTATTATCCATTTAAAAAAAAAAAAAGGAAGAAGACAATGTGTTTGAGACTCAGATATAAGAACACAATTCAGTTATCTTTAATTCTTTTATTTCTTTAATATGCCAAGCTAGTTCTTTATACCTAAATACATTACAATGGAATGGGGAACTAAAATGATTGATTTTTGTTTGATACTAATCTTTATTCATAGAAATAAAGTAGCCATTAGCATTAAATACATTTTCTAAGATGGTACACATTTATAGGTTAAGGCTTTGGCATTTAAGATTTTAACAATTTATGAATTTAACTAGAAAAATGAAGAAAATTGTGTCTCCAACTTTACATTGGTCACAATACTTTTCATAGTGTGTAGTATTTAAATTTGAAGAGGAGAAGCACAAAATCATTCATCACAATGACCTCTTTAAAAGTTGTCTAGATACCCATTTTGGACATTTGGGTGAATGGGTTGAAAACAAATCATTACACTACATTTATAAGCAAACCAGAAAAACTCTTTAACAAAGTGGCTAAGAAAGCAGTTTGCTGTGGCTACTTGAAAAATAAAGTAGGGAAAGCATGATAATAGCTATCCCTTAAAAAATAATCTTAATAATCTAAAATCTTTCATGGATGATCTTATTAAAAATGAGACACTAACATTTGACAAATGAAAAAAGAATCTTGACTAATAATTCCAGACCTTGGAATATAATTTCTAGTTGTGGATATAAATCTTCAAAAGTATATATATTGGGTATAAGTGAACCAAATATAAAATGCTACATATTCCCTCACTTTACGTTCTTGCAAGTGAAAACAGTAAACTTATGATTCCTTCATGAAAATGTCCTCAAGCCATAACAACTTCAAAGTACTTTGCTTATAGCAGAGAATATCACACTTTTCAACTCTATCTCTTCCAATTTTATTTATCATAAATAAATAATCATGACAACGGAATTGTAAACCCTGCCTGAAAAGATGAATATTGTTGCTTTTCTTGACTTCTACTTCAAGGTGAAACCCTGTTATCAGTAATACTTAAATTTCTCTCTTCAAAATAGTAAAAACTAAAGGCATTAAATTAGTACCAAATGTAGTTTTATCTACAAAATTATGTATTGTATCCTGACATGTGGCAACAGAGACCATATAAAATGTCCTCCGACAGACTAATGCCATAGTGAACATAAAAGGTTTTCTGTATTTTTTTCCTAACAAATGCAATTTGTAAAAATTGGCCAAATCACTACTGGGCACATGTCCAAATGCTAACTTGGAAATTCAATATTATCTCTCCTTAAAGATAAGTTGTGATACAAACATAAAAACTTCAGTAAGTTAAAAAAAAAAACAACCTTATTTTAGTATACTCAAGTTTACATGTAAATGACAAAAAAAACTTGTTCACCAAAAGAGAGCATCAAATGGCAGCAAATGAACACAATAGCCCAAAGAAAGAAGCAAAAATTCTCACAAGTTGGATTTCTCTAAATTCTTTTATCGCTGTTGTTTCCATGCTCGACATTCTATCCTAAACAAAATCTATCACTGCAAACTACAACCAAGAAATTCTGAATTGATGTTTAGTGAAATGAAGCTTGGCTTACTGCCCAAGGCGCTGAGAAAAGTCAGTTCAGCACATATGCTACAGAGCCTGTAATCATAAAGAAAAACAAAAAAATAAATCTCCTCACTGGGGCTATATGTCAAAAATTCTTATTAAAAAGGGGAAAGATTTGGCATTTGATATGGAAACTTTCCAACATAGTTTAAGGATACACTGAAAAGACCAATAATGAAAAATAGCAGGAACAACCATGACTGAGACACACTTTGTTGTATAAAAAATAAGAAATGGCCCATAGATTAACAGAAAAATACTCTGCTTTCAAAAGTTAACTATAATATACACCCGATTTGCCATTACTAATTCCACTAAGATCACCAGACCTTTAAAACTGGGCCTGGCAGAATGATAGATATGTCTAGGATTTAACCCAAACGCCCAAAATAAAACAAGACAATTAGCTGACATTTAAAGCAGAAGCTTCAACAAAAGTGCGATTTCTTTAACGTTCATATTTTAGTTCTCTTGATTATCTTCTCACCTAATACAATAAATACTCAATAAAACAACTTGCCAACAGCATAACTTATAACACTGTTGTGACATAACTCAGCATCTGCCTTCCTGGTTCTTCCAACTGGTGGTGCAATTTTTCTGATTCAACAAATACTTATTTTTGCTTATGATGATCTGGTCCTTGGACAAACAGTAGATTATAACTCTAATCATTTTTCAAGATCAATAGTAGTGCTTTACCTGAATATATAAAAACACAGAAGAGGAGTTTCTCATTGAACTCTCTAAGACTCAGAGTTTGAAATGGTTTGGAATGGTTGATGAAAATTTTAAGCTCTAACTCAGCACACATCTACAGGGATCGTACAGGCCTCGGATGAATAACAAGGATTGCCCCAGGACCAACTTCTCTCAATCTGCTCATCAGGTATCAATCAGTTCCACCAATGAAAACATATTTCAAGATTCGTTTCATAATAAGCAAGTGTAACTATCTTACCATCAAGTTATGAGCCACACCACCTAACTTCTGAAGCAAATAGAAAACAAAGAGTTACATATGGGAGTTAAACTCATGGTTGACAGCATACAAGAAATGAAAAGAAAAATATATAATGAGAACCACATAGTCAGCGTCTTGGGTCCAACGTTCAGTGATCCCGTCACACTGTTTTGCCAACATGACAGCTGAATAATTTCCATGTTGCGAAAATAAACATGCATACTACCAGTTCTCTAATACATAAACATCGCATATAAATACATCCTCATAGGAAACACTGATTTTACATTAAATTGTCATTTAAGAAAATTTTTGCATTGAATTACAATAAATTAAAACTCATTGTTGCATACTTTAAATTGCTTAAAACAGTATCACAGATGTTTACACAGAGAATTATAGTAATATACAAGAGAACTTCAATAAGAGTTGGATAAACAATGTTTAAAGTAAGAAGTCTTTATAACCAAGCTGTACGGACATTAGGGGGCTTAGGTCTTAGCAACAGGCCACCGGATGTGTCAAAGGCCAATCGTTCACTCTTGCAACTGAGACCACTGGTAGCACTCGATGTCCTGGATGCTCCTCCTAAAATATGCAAAGAATAAGAAATTTTAATTATTTAAGCCAAATACATTGTCCAATAAATTTTCTTTCCTAATTCTAAGCCCAGACGAAATTTTTCTTTCCTATTGCATGGGTGTTTTCTTTCTTTTCTTTTTTTTTTTATGTAGAAGAACTGGGGTGTAGGCCAGAGGTGTGGGGAGGGGCGTGAGAGGATTCACCAGAGACAGTGGGGAGCAGAACAGGCAGATCTACTGAAATACACTGCTGAGGGGAGTAGCGGGCAAGGCAGGAGAGGTCTGCTGTGCCATGTGGGTCATCAGCTCCCTAGCCTGGATGGAACTGAGGCTGGTGACAGCGTTGAGACTTAACCCCTAGGCCACCAGGGAGGCCCCCGCATGTGTGTTTTTAGCAGTTCAACACAACTTTCAACAAGAAATACCTAGACTTTACATTAGTAAATTTTCATCCAGGGGATTTGAGGTAGAAATTATAAAAGAAAAAACTTCATATAGTTACCTATATTTTATTCAACAAATAATTCTCCATATTCTAGATATGATATAAGTAAGTATGGACTACCGGAACAAGAATGTCTCTGGGTCACTATAACAAGTGATACTTAGAGAATGAATGAAATTTCTATAATCATTTGAGTGTTTAAGACGCACACGAGCCTTCCCACAACTGGGAAGTTGTAGTATTATAACTGTCTGAAGTGTCGCTTCTACTGTTTATAGTTTAGAATGCATATGTGAAAAGGAAAATGCATGTCTGACATCTCCATGTGTTGCATCCCTAGTTCTAAGCAGTCCCTCCACGCCAACATTCTCTGGGATAACGCACCACTACACGTGTGAGTGATCATGTATCAAGCATTACAAGGCACACATCTGATGACTCTATAGATTGCTAATTTTTCTTTTAATAATCCTATAAAGACAAAGCACATATAAGATCTGGAAGATCACAAATAATTCTTAACTGGCTAGGAGGAATGTTCAGTATTTTCAAACAAGTTCTTTTTTTAATTTCTTCCTCTAAATTGTGAAATTCCTCTCCATTGTCTAAAAAACTGATTTTTCACTGTTCTATCTCCTGGATTCCCCACTATGCTGCCATTACATGCCACAAAACCTCAAATTAAGTGAATCCAAATAAGACAAACCATGCCAGTGAAAATTAATAGATGACATTCCTGAAGTTTTAAACAATATCAGAAGTTAGTATATAAATAATATATTTTAAAAAGGTACAAACAAGTACAAAATGATTTTGAATATGCTTACTTAATGGGCTATACTGGCTAAGAGTCGATCTCACACGTCTGGAGGATGGCAATGAGTTAAGATAACCCATATTGCGATGATAGTCCATCAGTTGTTCTGATCGTTTCATTCCAACTGTTGGTTTTACAGCTTCAAGCCTTTTCAATAAAGCCTTCATTTAAAGACAATCAATATGAAAGTCAGTATTAGATAAACAGCAATAGTTTTTAAAAAGTGAATAGTTTCTAGAACCTGAAATTCATGAAAAAGTAAGACTTTAAATCACTGTTGACAAACCATATGGAAAAGTATTTCAGAGTATACTTTAAGGAAAATCTAAGGGTTTTCATCTTGAATTTTGCTACAGTGATATGCAGAAAGCTACTACGTAATTCACTACCCATCAACATCATTTCAACTTGCTTTGTTGTTATCTGCTCCTTGCCACATGCAGGGTAACCTGCCTGAAAGGTTTAAGACTACTACTTTTGTATATATACACCACCTCCCCAAATCCTGGTGTTAGTGATGATAATAAAGCAGAGTTGTTAAAATTAAGTTAGTTAAATAGTTAATAGGACTGCACTGGTGATGAAATGTGATAAGGGTGCACTTTGGAAACTGTTTTAGTAATTTTATAGTAGTCTTATAAACTAATTTAGCTTTGAATTTACGTGTTCATTAAGGGTCTAACTTTATTTTTTTATTTTTTTTTAAGAGGCATTTATTTATTTGTTTGTTTATTTATACAAGCACTGGATACAGTCAGAAGCGCGGGAGGGTGAGAGAATTCACCAGAGCCAGAGCGGGGAGCAGAGCAGGCAGAAGGACCGAAGTACACTGCTGAGGGGAGCAGCGGGCGGCAGGAGAGGTCTGCGCGCCATGTGGGACCCTCCTCTGGTGGCCGGGGAGCAGCCGGGGATAGAACTGGTGCTGCAGAGGCCGCGGGCAGCTTCGCAACCCAGCGCTCAACCGCTGCGCCACCGGGGAGGCCCAAGGGTCTAACTTTAGCTTACGAAACTACCTGAGTTTAAAATCTTGGCTCAGCCACTTACTAGCTCTGTGTCCTTGGGCTAATTATTTAATTATTCTAGGTTTCACTTATTTCATCTGTGAGATGTGGATAAAATTAATACCTAGCTGAAAATACTGTCATTAGCATTCAATAAGCTGGTATTTGAAAGACTCCGAGAACTTTGGCATTTAGTATTCAGTAACTGTCAGCAATAATTATGAACTGAATTTTAGGAAGAAAATGAAATGCTACAAATAATAATTTTATGTGACGGTTTTAACAATCCCCATATAACTATATGATTGTTAACCAATACCGTTCATGCATTCAAGTAACAGACCATCAAATCAGATCACCAATTTAGTGAGAGAAGGAATATTTCACAGAAAATACATGTATCTGATCCCTGAATTCCAATTTCTGTGCTACTCTAGTGATTTAACAGATCTTGTCAAAAAGTAGGTTTTCTGTATTTTTTAAATATTCTCTGAAAAAAGCCTACTGGATAAAAAAAATTACACTTCTCATCATGTATTTCATTCCATACAAATCTTCACCTACTTTTACATATGAGTTCCAAGTTGGACTTACAAATCAGTGTAAATGTATTTTCTTTGATAGCTAAAAAATGTATTACTTACCAAATTTTCTCTTTCAATTCTTTGCTGTTCCCTTTGTCTGTTGAGAGCACTATGATATAACTTGGGGGGAGGGCCAACAGATCTTCTAGGAATTGTACTTTTGCTCCCAGGTTTTTCAGCCTGTCTTGACAGTTCTTTCAAAAGCCTCTGATTTTCCCGATCAATCTGTCTCACTTCCTCTTTTGTGAAAGAGTAGTTTCTCCTAGGTGCTACTGAAGGCTGATCCAAGTGAGGTTTTTGTGGTCCCTTTTTATCTAATTGCAGAAAAGCTACAGAAACCAAAAAAAAAAAAGAAAACTGGTTAAACAAACCAGTACAGCAGGTACATGCTTTAACTCTTACAGACAGAAATTATATTAATTCATGTAAAGCTATGTATGAAATAGTTAATGAGAGCCAGACTCAAATCAGATAGAAAAAAATTCAGGGGCAGTTTAGAGCATTGTGTTTATTGGGTTCGTTGGGAATAAAAGTTTATACACAAAACAATGAAAATATTTTAGTAAAAAAAAAGTGTATAATACTAGTTCTCAGGAAGACATACGTTATGAAAAATGCCTTTATCATGCCCATTTCATGTTTCCCTACATATATTTAATAGTTGGGGAGGCTCTGGTTGAGTGCACCAATACAATACTTAATTGGGATAGTTACTGAAAGCTGGAGGGCATAGTTCCAAAAACAAAATGTCCTCAGCAATGACTGATGAAAACCATGCTAAACAATGGCAAAAGTAAATCCAGAATATCCTGCAATTTTCAACATAATCTGAAAATATCTTACTATGGAAGATTTGCTGTCTATTAAGTGTCACTAAAAAAATTACATCTATTGTAAAAGTCCAATATTTTATCCCTAACTAAACAAAAGCCAAATGAATACATTATGTAAAAGGAAAATTTAACCAAAAAAAATTTTGCAAGTTACCAAGTAAAATTTTTATCAACATGCTTAATCCCTAAATTTCTATATTATAAAAAAATAAAATTTCCATATTATAAACATTTTCAATAAGTTACAATTATTAACATTTGTTAGAAGTTTCTAAAAATATTAAAGCCTATTAATGTTTCAGCGTGTGTGTACTAAAAATGACTATCTCCCATTGATTTGTTTTTGCACAATATTTTTAAACTATTATTTGTTTCTGTATAACTTTACGCTACTATTTTACTTGTGTAGCATTTTATGCTGTTAAAAGCACATTGCAATAAGGGGAAGAGGAATTTTTAAGTCCTATTTAAATATATGATCAGTTGGTAGAGATAAGTTAAATCACTTTGACTAAGATCACAAAATCTGTAAGTCTATCTCCCTATTTTAAAATCAAAGATATCCTAAGGTTATAGAAACTTAAAAAACATTTACAGCAGCTTCCTGATAGGAAAAATGAGTAAATTGATGGTTGGTAATTTGTTGAAACCACACCAAGTTAATAATAAAACCTGAATGAGAACACACGTATAAATCTATAGATGTGTTATGCATAATTATCTTCCCTCTAAGAAATACCCATTTTGTAGATTTAATAGTTTCTAGATTAATGTAACAATATATGAAAGCTTTTAAATTAAATTTTGAAGAAAATTAAGCTACCTTTCTCATGGAATTTTTAAAGTTTTTTTTTTTTTTAAAGCAAGGTAAAATAACAAAGAAATTACATCTAAATCACTTAAAAATATAAAAATAGCATTTTAGCTTTCACAGATGGAAAAGGATGGAGTGCCTTATAGTGATAGCAGACATTACACTACATTTTTCTAAAGCTGGCACTATGTTTTAGCATGAAGCCACCTCGAAAAATGAAACCCATTGTTTTTCCAATTGATAGTTTCCAATTACAGCAGGTACATGCTTTAACCCTTAAAGACAGAAACTATATTAATTCATGTCTAAAGTCTAAAATTAAAAATTTTTTAACTTGAATAAAACTTTCAGGGATACAACATATATATTTAAACTCCCATACTTAAGAAATAATTTTTTTTTTTAAATCAACAGTTTTGTCTTTTTTTTTTTTTTAAAGATTTATTTATTTATTTATACATGCACTGGGTACAGTCAGAAGCACGGGAGGGTGAGAGAATTCACCAGAGCCAGCGCGGGGAACAGAACAGGCAGAGTGATGAGATACACTGCTGAGGGGAGCAGCGGGCGGCAGGAGAGGTCTTAGCGCCATGCGGGACCCTCCTCCAGTGGCCAGGGCGCAGCTGGGGATCGAACCAGCGCTGCATAGGCTGCGGGCAGCTTCACAACCCAGCGCTCAACCGCTGCGCCACTGGGGAGGCCCTTAAGAAATAATTTTTCCCTAATTTTCCTTAATGAAACAATTTTTTTTCAAACTCTTTACATCATTTTAGTATCGTTATCCCGCATCATCAGAGCCACTTCCTGGGTCATGTAACATCATTTACTAGAGGTATCAGCTGTACTTTCAGCAGAGACCATATTTTAAAATTGATGTATAAAACTATCACTGGAAATTTTATCCCAAGCCATATCTTCATTCATTTTAGTCCTTTCAAAAAAATAAACAAAATCTGCCTGTAGGCATATTTATGATTCCAATTTAAAAAAAAAATAGTATTTGCTTTTTTAGGGTGATTTTTAAAAAGGTTTAAAATACCCCAACACTTGTAACTGAGAGTAACAATTCAAGAGTAATAACTAAATTTACTCCATTTCTTTGTCTTCTTTATCAACAACTTCTGAGATGAAAAATTCTGTGACATTCTTCCTTTGACTCTGGGCAGGTTTGTGGTAACTTGGACCAATTTGATATAGCCAAAGGGTGGCTTTCAAGGTTGGCAAAAAAGTAGATGAGCCCCACACTCCCAGTACTTGCTGGAATACTTGAGCTTGGTCCCACGCAACCTTGTGTGTCTGACTACACTAAACCTGTTAGACTGTGACAAAATCAAACCACATAGAGAGGCCGTGTGAAGGCACTATGATCCCAATTTCTGCATCATCCTAGGTTGCTGCTTTACATTTCTACGTTTTGTTATTTGTTATCAGACCAACAGTAAACTCATGCAAAATTTGATACCAGAAGTGGGGCACCACTTCAAAAAAACCTAAAAGACATGGCATTAGCTTTGAGACAGGTAGCAAGCAGAGCTGGAAGAACCTACAGGAGATTATTGAAGAAGTGGCAGAATTTTAGCAACACTGTCAGCTATGGTGACAAGAAAAATGGAAAAAATACCTATGCTACCCATGAATTCGACTAAGCAAATCTCTGCTCAGATTGTTGACTATATCAAAGGTTTATTTTATCCACAATAATGCGATAGGACAGAGGGAGATGAACTTTTAAAAAAAGGGAACTGGTCAGTTTCCTAGCAGAATTCAGAGAATATAAAAATTGGGATTTATGGAATTAAAAATTAAATTTACCACTCAAGCCTCTGCTAGCAGAAGATTTCAGAGCACTGAGAGAGCTATATAACTGAGGAAACACGCACAGGGAGCCTCAGCTGTACTGAGTTCTTTTAGGCCCTGGATCCCGTAGTTGGAGGATCTTTGGAAAGGGGCATTACATTTTTACATATGGGAGGAATGTAAACAAGTATGTGATGAGAAGTTGGATTGAAGAGGTTTTAAAACATGCCCATAAAATTGATACTCCTCCCATAAAAGGGAGGGTCTATGTCCCTCCTCTTAAATCTGGGAGGTTTATAATCGTTTCATCATAGGATATGAAGAAATGATGCTATGTGACTTCTGAGGTTAGGTCACAAAGGCGATGAGGGTTCTGTCTTGTTTCTTGGAACACTGAACTTGGAACCTTGAGCTTCCATGTTAAGAGGTTCCACATCCTTGAGGCTGCCATCTGTGAAGAGGCTATGTGTGCCCTCTAGCCAGCAGTGCTGGTCTTCAAAGTCATCCCAAGTCCAGCTCTTCACATGTGAGTATACCAGCAATCAGATTATTGTCCCCATCTGTAAAATCACCCCTGCCTGTGAGTCTCTCCATCCCCTATAATTGGGGTAATCTGTTATGTAGCAATAGTTATTGATATTTCATCCCTTAAAAAAAAGTACCATGTGACACACAAACAAAATACCTGTGGACCAAGTGCAGCCTATAAGCAGGTAGCTGATGCTTTTTTTTTTAAAGATTTATTTATTTATTTATATAATCATTGGGCACAGTCAGAAGCGCGGGAGGGTGAGAGGAGTCACCAGAGACAGAGCAGGGAGCAGAACAGGCAGACTGACGAAACATACTGCTGAGGGGAGCTAGCTGATGTTTTTTTGGGGTCTAATCAGTCTATCAATCTTCCATATGGCTTTGTCAATGTCATCATCTAGTTCTGTTTTGTTTCATTATACATTTCAACTCAATGGCTACTGTGCCTTTTGGTGTACTTGGGCAATTTATTAACGTCAAACATTCTTCTGTGTCCCTTTCAGTGCTTTTCATATCTTGAAATCTTTCATATACTAATAGGACTGACATTTCTATCTTCTCCTTGTTAAAATCTGTCTGGCACATCTTTTTCAAGTCTTTATTTTCATTCTTCCTATGCTATTTCAAATATATTTTTATATTAAGTTAAAAAATTAACCCTCTTACAGTATCTTCTGATAAGTTAAAGCCATTCAATTTCATTCTCTTTCCTACCATTCTTAAAAATGTTTTTTTCCCCATTTGGAAGATTAATTATATTAATTCCCGCCCCCCCCAACAGACTACAAATCATATATTCTAACTCCATTCTTTTATTTTTTTATTTTTTTTTTTTTTTTTTATAGAGGCATGCTTTATTTATTTGTTTGCTGGTTTGTTTGTTTGTTTTGTTTATACATGCACTGGGTACAGTCAGAAGCGCGGGAGGGTGAGAGAATTCACCAGAGTCAGAGCGGGGAGCAGAGCAGGCAGAAGGACCGAAGTACACTGCTGAGGGGAGCAGCGGGCGGCAGGAGAGGTCTGCGCGCCATGTGGGACCCTCCTCTGGTGGCTGGGGAGCAGCCGGGGATCGAACCGGTGCCGCAGAGGCCGCGCGCAGCTTCGCAACCCAGCGCTCAACCGCTGCGCCACCGGGGAGGCCCACTAACTCCATTCTTTTAGAACAGAAGTTCTTAAACCTTTTGGTTTCAGGATTATAGAGGACCCCAAAGACTATTCATGTGAGTTACATCTATCAATATTTACCATGTTAGAAATTAAAAGTAAAAATATTTAAAGGCATTTATTAATTCATTTGAAAAAATAAACCAGTGATATATTAATGATACATTTTAGAATAAACATCTTATATTCTTTTATTAAACTTTGTATCATAAGCTTAGTATCCTGTAGATTGAATTTATATTTAACAAACTTGGAAATAAGTCATTCTAATAACTAATGGTTACACTGTTAGCTATATAAGCATCTTTCATCATCTGAACTCTTGCCCAATACATGCTGTAATAGCATCAATGGAACCAAATAATTTCTTAGTGTCTAGATATTCAGAAGGTGCTCCTTAGATCAGGAGCATTAGTATAACCATGGGGCTGGCTAGAAATGTAGCTCTGGTTCTACCCTAGATTACTGAGCCAGAGTCTACATTTTAATAATATCCCCAAGTGACTTGTACACACATTAAAGTTGGTGAATTTCTAGTCTAGTCCCTTGCCCAAATAGCATATAATCCTGCTTTTCTCCTTTTTAGTTTTTAACAGATCCCTGCTTTTCTTCTTTCTTTTAAAGACATCTACCCCTTCCCCACAAAGCCCTGCCTTCAGAGAAAGCTGACCTCCCTCTCCCAACTCCCACCTGTAACTCCAGTGTAAGTCTGACTTGCCCAGGATGATCCCATTCTCCTTGCCAATGAGTATTTCAGGAGTGGGAGTATACCTCAATTCTGGGGACATAAGTGGAAGCCGGCTGACAGAGCTTGATCTAAGAGAGTCAGAGGAAGAGACAGTTTCCATTTCTCCGACATTGTCATATCTGGACGTCAATACGGAAAATTGCTGCAGACATACCCTAGTAGCCTACGAAGGAAGCCAATACCAACATCGAGTGGAATGGGAGGGAAGAACCTGGTCCCTGAGGACATTTTTGGGTCTCAATCCTGGGCTATCTGTGGATTTCCTGATACATGAGAAATATTGTTTCATCGGGAATTTGTTTCTTGCATCCAAAAGCACCCTAATCGGTGAAAGCAGATGATCATCGATGGTCCTGAACAAAAAAAATGAAATATCACAGCCCATTTCCCAGTAGATGATTTTTAAAAATCTGACAGTTCCAAGAGTTATGTGCTTTCTTTCTAAAACAAGGTTTTTATTGGTTGTGTCCTCTCTTCCACTCTCATGCTCATTCTCAGAATAGACTGGCGCTTAAAATTAATGGAATCAAATAGTACTCACAAAATTTAAAAAATGGAACACTGAGTCCTTAAAATGGAAACTATGATTTAGTCAAGCAAGATCATATTTTGAAAGACAAATACCTTGTTATATTATACATTCTTCTTTTTCAATATCCATTCTTATTTTTTAATTTTATAGGAAAGTTTTATAAGATTCTTTATAAGACCAAAGGTTATACTTCTACTTTTTAAAATACATATAGATCACAGCAGTAACTGTTAAGAACAATGCAGCAATAGAAATTTGACAATATAAGGAAAAAACTTTTGATTCATATTAATACAAAATATTACAGAGCAGTCTGCTTTTCTCATCAGATGGATATTCATGGTTTAATTTTTACTTCCTAATTTTTACATTACAAATATGATTAAAAAACAATCCTGTCACTTTAAGAGAAACAACTGACAGTATCTGTTGACAATAATAAAATCTGAGCATTTTAGCAAAAATTAGTGTTTCTGGTACACGTGAGTTTGACAGTTTCCCAAGAGCTTTCTGATGAGATTGGTAGTAATAACTATGATTTCTATACAGTGTAATATGAACTATGTTAACATTTGTAAGCTCAGTGAGCCAACAGTTTCTAACTAACCTATATATCATGTTGCAAAACCAAGTAAGGATAAAAGATACATTCAAATTGTAAGAGAGATCAATTCAATAATCCTAATGTAACAGAATAATTTAATATCAGCTTCAAACTTTACATTGCAACTAACATTTAAGAAACTACTTGTGGAATTCTAGTGTGGTATCAAATAACATCCAAAATTAATACTCCACTTTCCAATCACATATCTACACGAGGCCAGATTTTCTTCATATACTTCAACCAAAACAATATATTGCAATAGTTGTACACAGAAGCTTACATGAGAATCCAGCTATTTTCTAGCCAAACATTAGCAAAATTACTAAACTTTTGACATACAGTTATGGCTCATAATACATGTTGCCTATGTTAATACATAATGGGTTTATAACTACTATTTTTCAATGAACCAATAAATATTTTTGATATCTACATGGTAAATATTAAAGATATACTCCACATAAGCAAAAGGGGTCTCAGTAATTTTTAAGTGAGCAAATGTTTTTGGTCCCAAAGTGAAAATGTTTGAAAACTGGTACGCAGAACACTAGGGTTGGTGCTGGAAATTTGGAAGAGATGTAGGGAGAAATAGTCTTCAACTTGATAAATCATCAACCTGATGATGATACAATCTATCTTATAGACTGGAAAGTGGTCATAAGAATTTTTAAAAAAGGAGACACTGTTACACTGGAATGCTTGATAAAAAATTAGAGATTTTCCCATAGAATGTCAATCAAACATACTAAGGATTATATAGCAGAAGCAGACACAAACTCATTCTAGGAAATCTAAAAATAATGGGTAATTACTACAAACGAAATTTTGCTTAAGTACATGAAAATCATTTCCTGACCATTAGGACTTACAGTTCCTTTGGTTGACAAACACTGTCAACTTAGGGGTTCTAGATTTAGGGTTTCTAGCAAGCAGTAAGATCCTGCCTTTGTGGAGAGCAACTAACATTCTATACTAATCCCAGAGTCTGGTAAGTATTCTGATGGGAAGAAACAGGTTTTTGGGACAGAGTCAGGGTTTGGGGTGGAGTAATGGGGGAAATTTCTATGGAAATAGTCACAAAAGTACCTCTGAGGAGATGAGCTAAGACCTGAGATGCGAAGCAGCCTATGCAAACGAAATGGGCAGAGGTCTTATAAATGCAAAATATTTTGAGCTCAGTAAGAAAAAAGTATGATAGGAGCACAGTAATGGGAGATTAAACAGGAAAAGATGGATAAATACCCATATGATGTAGATAAAAGATTTTCATCAACCTTAAAGCAGAGAATTAGACCAATCACAACAAAATCCCCACAGCAGGGCCTAAGTAATAGTATTTGTTTTAATCGTTCTTCAGGTGATACTAATGTGCTACCTGGAATGAGAATCACTGCTAGAGAGTCTGTTAGCCTATTTGATAAGGAATATAGATTTTAATTTTAAGAATATTAATATTTATATAAAAATTAAGGATACTAGTATGATTGATTTACTATTCCAAAGGTCATTCTGGTTATTAAAGGAAGAAGCAGAGGGACATGAACAGAAAACCCCTCACTCATGAGTTATAAGAGTGAGTGAATGAGCATTTATAGGAAAAAGATGTTGAGTGGAAGCTCAGCCCCTAAATGGCTAATGCTGAGAGTCTGATTTTTCAGACACACTAACAATTAATAGGAACAATAGGAGAAAAGGGAAAAGAAAACCGACAAAGAGGAAATATTCACAAGTACACATTGCTCCATAATGTACTATCAATCTATGAGAGTTTCTTGACTAAATAAGGGATTTATTTATGCCCTAACATTGCTCTCATTTATTATATAATTATGTAGCTATGGATTTATTCTTTCAACTAACACTTCAAACAAAAGTAGAGAATCCCATTTACAACCTTAAATCATTACCTTGAATCAACCTAAAACCTAATCTACAAGCCCAATATTTTGTTTTATTAGCTAATCCAAAGGTAAGTTTGAAGTTGCTTTTCTTACACCTGGAATGTATTGTTCTCTTCAAACTAAATATGGATAATAAATTGATACAGACACAGTGGTAAAGATTATTCTAATTCAAAAATACTTATAACTTAAAGCAAGTGAAAATTGAAATGTGTAATTTCATCAACTTGGTAATTATTTCCAAGTAATGCTCTTCAGCCTTTTACGTAAAACCTGATTACTCCTGCATAGTTTACTCTAAGTTCTTTCATTTACCAGTATTTTTGTTACTTGCCCTCATATGAGGGCAACAGGTCTTAACCTTAGTGGGGCTGCCTTTCTTAAAGAAGGTGAAATCTATCTTCAGCCCATGTCTCTATCAAAAATGGGAAAACATCTGGTTCCACTTCTCATTTATTTTCTCCATCTGGTCCCTCAAGGTATTTTGCGTTTGTAAAGCACTAAAATAAAACCAGTGTGAAGTATTTTCTAATCTCAGCTGATTAGCTTTGCAATAATATGATATTCCAGGGATTTTTATGATAAAATAGGATGTTTGGTAAAGTTACTATAATATCATTTGTCCCAAACAATAAAGCATATTAGCTAGAAAAATCAGTGTAAATTCATAGCATTCATTAGTTAAGCTCAATCATCGAATTTTATATTTTAAGTTCAATACACAGATTTTAGAAGAAAAGAGAATTACCTTTCAGAAGATGATTCAGGTCCATTGTGTCATGTAAGACTTTTTGTTTATATCTCTGGTCTAAATTGGAATCTAACACTGCAGACTTCGACGTGAGATTGGGCCCATGTTTTTCTTTTCCTTTTTTGGCCGATTTCAAAGATTTTGAATTATTTTTTAAATCTTCAACAGTCGCGTACACTTCTTGACTCACGTTTTCTTGCTTTTTAACTTTCACTTTTTGATCATTTGATGATCCCAGTTCAAAAGACTGAACAGGGCTGATGTCTGGAGTTGATAAAGGAGTTACATCTGTCACCGTATCTTCAGATTCCTCAATGCAGTCACCTGCTTTGGGTTTAGTACTTGAAGGTTGTGTTCCTGTTGATTTTATTCCTGGTTTATACTTCTGTTTTGGAGACACGTGGGTTATACCAGATACATGTTTCTTTAATGATGGAGATGAAACAGATACATCCGACCCTGCATCTGAACAATCTGTATCTGAACTTGAAGATGAGGAGGACAATGAGGAAGAGGAGCTCCTTTTGGAATAATTTTTACTTTTGCTTTTTTTAAAGTTATTCGATGGTTTAACTGATTTGGATCGGACATGATGCTTTTTCCCATTGTCACTGCTTTCCTCTTCATCTGTACAGTAATCACCTTTACCATCTTTTACAATTTTCGGAATTCTTTTTGGGATGGGCAAGTGTATTTTATGTTCTGTTGTAGCATCACTCAATTTTTTGGATCTTGAAGAAGTAGACAATGATGACGAATTTCTGGTGTGTGTGCTATCATTTTCTACAGGGTGTTCTTCTAGAGAGATTTTCTCCTTTCTTTCATTTCCCTTGTCAGTAAGGTAATTTCCCTTGCTTTGTACTCCAAATTTCAGGTTTACACTTTCTGTATCTTTATCTAATTTCTCTTTCTGTTCATCATTTTGCTTGTCAAAAATTGAGTTACTGTCACATTTTTTTGCTTCTTCAAAGTCACTGTCAAAGAAAGAATGGTCCACTTCACCATCTGATAAATCTCTGAAGCGATCCATGATGGCAAAAATATATCTGAAAAGGAGAAAAGTAAAACCATTGAACTAAGAGTAATTTTCAATTAATTTTTACTTTTATATAGCAATTGCATAATTTTTCATAGCTAAGAAATCTGGTTTATATATAAAGAAAAACATGATCAGAAAGAAAAAACTAAAAAACAAACAAACAAACAAAACACTTCCAGTAACTCTGTTAGCTGGCAATGGACTATAGGGGTAAAATCAGTATTCTGAAAAATAAATAACTCTAATAGTTTAGTTCCCAAGAAAATAATAGATGAAGGCAGGCATAACACAAACATGGATACCTTGGTGATCCCTAAGGGAAATCTGATTTCTAAAATTGAGTACAGTTATGGAGCTAAAACCTCATTAAATCAGCTAACCCAGCCCAAACACATTATTTTTAGTGGAAGCCTTTCAATGGAGATTGTTTCAGTGCTTGTCTTTGTCCTATCCATTTCCTTCACTGCAGTTACTGGGGAAGAAGCAGGAGGTGACTTTTTCAATTAAAAGCTCTCCTTATTCCTTTTTGAAGAACGAAAACTTTAGAGGCTGTACAGGTAGCTCAAAGGCAAACTTCTGAATATTTAATCACAAATTGTGACATACCTGCATGTAAAATATAGAGGGAAGTATACATGTCTCATTGTGTTAAAAAGAATGTCGTATGAAAGAGATTTTAGAGTAGACATGCTGCTTGATATGGGGAAATTAAGGCATATTACTTAGATACATGGAGTTAAATACTGCATAAGTAGACAAAAATATTCAAAGTCGTTAAAGTAGTTGCCTTCAACAAGGTGCAGAGACCACTGTTTTGGTTTAGGCCTTAAATTACAAGTTTACCTGTAAATTTAAATGTGTACTACTATGACAAAAAACTAAAATTGATTTTAAAATAGTTTAATACTTTATATATTTGGAATTAAATTACAAAAATCACTATAAAGTCATTAAAAAGATTTCTCTCATTATAGTGTCACACTACTACTAGCAATCTTGAATTCAGAGTTTAACCTCTAATACTTTCTACATTAAAAACAAAACAGAAAAACCAGAATTCCTTTCAAGCAGCTGATTCCATTTCTGAAGGCAAAGAAAAATAAGGGCCTAGAATGCCTTATTGTTGCCAAAAAACACAATATTCAAATATGCCTCGGATAGTGAGGATAAAACAAAAGATGCAGTTTAAAGAAGTTTCCATTGTCTAAGATAGACAACTTAGTACACCAAAATACACATAAAAATGAAAAGGTAATTCTGGGGAGCACCATTGTCCATGTTATTAAAAAGGAGCAAATAAAATGAGCTTTGTTAAAGGAATGGCATATAAATTTTCAATAATAATATGTAGCCAATAGACCACTTATGTGCTCATTATATTCAAATTATTACTAATTCCATTACATGAAATCAAGCACTAAGATTATATAATCTGTATTCTACATCAATCATGATATTCTGCAACCTTTAATTGGTGGAATGACCCTTCATTTTACAAAAGCACGAATACATAATTTAAAAATCAACCAAACTGGGCCTCCCCAGTGGTGCAGCGGTTGAGCACTGGGCTGCGAGGCTGCCTGCCCTGCGCTGTTTCAATCCCCGGCTGCCGGGCGAGGGTCCTACATGGTGCAGCAGACCTCTCCTGCCGCGCCCGCTGCTCCCCTCAGCAGTGTATCGTCAGGCTGCCTGTTCTGTTCCCCCTCTGGCTCTGGTGAATTCTCTCACCCTCCCGCGCTTCTGACTGTACCCAGTGCTTGTATAAATAAATAAAAAAATAAATCTTTAAAAAAAAATCAACCAAACTGATGCTATTTATACTAATTTGGTAAGTTAATATAAGTAATTTTTTCTGTCTTTAAGGTTTTGAAGAATTTGAGAGCTTCTGAGGTATTAAGCTTATAAAAAATTAACTGTAATCAACTTTTAAATGCTTAAGGGAACCTGTTTGATTACATCAGTAAGTTTAGATTTATTTGGTTCATAAACAGTAACTGAGTGCTTGGTAAGATTTGCTTTATTAATTTTAAGTGTTGCTTGTCAGGAGGAGTAATCTGAAACAGCCAAATAGTAACACAATAATTGCAAAGATACAGAGTGGGGAAAGGAAAGGAGAGAAGGGTGACCCGAGGGCTCGAGCTTAAAAAGAAGGTTCAGCTGAAAAAAAGACATGGAGCTCACCAAGTGGCAAAAGCTTGACTTGAAAACCAAGAAACCAGTATTTTTTTCAGTTCATATTGGGGTAGTAGTTACCCCAATATGCTAGGACAATTTACATTCTATTCTGTGTGGTTAAACTACCTTTTGAAGGATGCATTTAATTCTGCTAAAGTGAAGAGTCTAGATTCTAAATCATGATTGTTGGTTTACAAAGCAAGGGGCTCATAGCTAGTACCAGTAATGGCTACCTGAAAGGGTGCATTGAGCTACCTGAAGGATTGTGATATGAAAAAAGATTTTAGAGTTGCCAGTTCCACAGGTTGAATCTGGTGGAGCGCATAAGAAAGGTGTTCAGAGGTTAACCTAAGAGCTTCTCAGAAGTGAAACGGACACTTCTAAGATTATGAGCCAGGATTCACTAGATAATGTTGGAACAAAGACTGGATGCTGCAGAGGGAATTTCTGCATTAGCAGGACATGCTCTTTCCCAACTCTGTCACTGATGAACTCGGTCTACATCTGAAGTCTATCCATAAGCTAAATGACAACTATCTTGTTGAAATCCCTGTTTTTGATACCTAACAGTTTCCTGGCTTTCTTCTCTCACCAGACCAGGAGCTCCAGATAGCTGGGTCATCTTTATATATCCCTAGTACCCAAAGCAGAACCATAATAAATATTAAGCATTCAAAGAATGTTCATCTGATGAAGGAATTTGGAGTTAAGAGACTTAAGCTGAAGCCCTAATTCTGCTCTTCGCTATTCAAACAAGCATGAAAAAAACCACCCCTTTCTCCTGAGCTAATTTCCTTGATAGTTTTCCACAATCAGCTCCTCTCTCACATATATAGACCAGAATTAAGTATCCCTTAGCTGTACTTCTATGGTACAGTCATGGAGTCCCCAAAAGTTGTAAGCATATGCCTCCCTAAGGGGGAACAGCTGATGAGAAAGGGTGCACAGCCCGGTGCCCTGGGAGACTTTTCTGGCTTCAAGTTAGGTTCATTGTATCTGACGGGGGTTTTGTAAGGATTTGAACATTCGGATCACTACAGTTCACTGAAAAATAATCCAACTATCCCACCCACTAGGCCAATTCTCTTGATAGCATTTACTTTAAAGACAGTGAGATGAATTTACATTAGAGAATAAAAACAATATGGACTGAAGATAAAGATTTTCCTTACAAACTGGAATCAGGTAAACACTAGATCATAGTTCATCAGGCAGAATCACCCTCCTGCTGCTCAATGAAGGCATGTACTTGCCAAAGCTGCCAAGGAGTGACCCCAATACTCACCACTCCTGCAGAGCCAGCGGCAGAAAGAGTAATGCTTTCAAGAGACATCAGGAAAACAAACACAAGAATCAGACTTTTTTTTTTTTAAACTGTCGTGACATTACATTATTGTAAACGCAGCTCTAGAACATGATCAAAGAAGTTAACCGATTGGGTACACGAAAATCTCGACCTAAAGTAAACACCTGTTTTCCCTCCAGGACCTCGAAGCTCGGTTCACAACCCCCTCCAGACCCCCGCGAGGAAAGTAACTGACAGCCCCACGAGCCTCGGGGTTCAGGTTCAAGAGGGTGGAGGTGAGCGGCGGGGACCCGAACCCGGCTCCGAGGGGCCACCACATCTTAATTCAGAGGCGACCCCGACCCCCACGCCACCCCCGAACGCGTCCGGAAGACCAGCGGGGCGAGTCCCACCCCGGCCGACGGGGGGTTCGGACACCTCTGTTGTGGTTACACCTGCCGCCGCGGGGCCGGGGGAGCCGGAGAGGTGGCCCACGGAGCCGCAGGCTGGGATGGGGGCCCGCCGGCCCGGCTTCCTGACCTCCCGCTCCCGCTCCCTGATATGGCTCCTGAGTGCTCACCGCTGCCCGGGCTCCGGAGCAGGGAAACGGATCCGAACGGCGGGGTGCGCGGCGGGCGGCCGCGAGCGGGGAGACAGGGGAGCCCCGCGCGCGCTCACCCGGTGCGGCAGCCGCTGCCCGCCATGCGCGCCGCCCGCGGGGTTCCGGGTGTGCGCACGCGCCTGCGCGCTCCCGCCGCCCGTCCGCGAGGCTGCGGCCGCTGCGCACGCGCCGCCGGGGCGGGGCGAGGGGCACGCGCGGAGGCCGCCGGGGGCGGGGCAGCGGGACGCGCGCGGAGGCCGCCGGGGGCGGGGCAGCAGGGCACGCGCGGAGGTCGCCAGGGGCGGGGCAGCAGGGCACGCGCGGAGGCCGCCGGGGGCGGGGCAGTGGGACGCGCGCGGAGGCCGCCGGGGGCGGGGAGCGCGAGTTCCGCGGGGACCCGGCCGAGGCCCCACGCTCGGCTCGGCGCGGTCCCTTGCGGCGGGCGTCATAGAGCGCGCCGGGCGCGCCGGAGACCTGGCCAAGTTCCTCCCGGCCCCGCCCCGCCTCGCTTGCTAGGGCGGGGAGCCGGGGCCATACCTGCACCCCTCGGTTGGGCGGAGACCCGTCCAGGCCCTCCGCCTCCCTATGCACAGGACCGAGGGGGTACAGCTCCTGTGGCCGCCATTAATAGCACTTCGGGCAGGCCGAGTGCTTATGGTGGCTCATTTAAGGGGGAAAGCGGCTTTAATTAATTTAAGAGGTTTTTTGTTTGTTTTTTTTTACCAGAACGCCTGCCTGGGAGTTACTATGGTAACACAGATCCTTCCTCGCCCCCGCACCCCCTTACAGGCCCTGAGTGGAGGGGGGGGGCCGGAGCCCTCTCCACCTCCCTGCCCAGTGTCCAGGACCCGGCTGGACCGGGCAGCACGTGGCCTCGGCCTCTGACTCCTGCCCGGCTGGGAGGTTCCCTGGTCTGGACCCAGATGCTCTTGCCAAAGAGGTGAGAGGAGGGAATCCCATCAATATCAGGGTTCACCCTCCCGCACACCCAGCTTGACAGAAAGAGTGTCTGCCTCGCCTCGCTCCCCTGCCAACACAGTATTAAAAATGGGGCGACCGTGGTTTACTGATTGTTTATATCAGCAAAGTTTAATTCAAATAACTGCTGAGTACTATGGGCCAGGAACATCTTAAAAAGTCCTCTGACAACTGTTAAAGAACTGGTAGTTAAGACAATCGAAGAGAAAAATGATATCTGTACATCGTGTTGAAGGCCATACTTTTTCGTTTCTGATCTCACAGGCAATAGGTATAATAAAATAGTTCCCCAGATGCTCACCTCCTAATCCCCGGAACTTTTATGTTACTTTACATGGCAAAAGGGGTTTTGCTGATGTGATTAAGGATTTGGGCATGGGAAAATTAAACCTGAATTATCCAGGTTAATGTAACCACAAGTGTCCTCCTGAGCAGGCAAGAAGTTCAAGGTCAGTAGCAGATGTTATCAAACAGAAGCAAAGGTGATAATGTACATGAGGAGAATAGTTAACAGTACTGTATTGTATATTTGAAAGTTGCTCAGAGTAAATCTTAAAAGTTCTCATTACAAGTGAAAAAAAGTTATCATTACAGGAGGTGATGGATATTATTGCTGTCATTTTTTTAAAAAGATTTATTTTTTATTTATACAAGCACTGGGTACAGTCAGAAACGCGGGAGGGTGGGCGAATTCACCAGAGCCAGAGCAGGGAGCAGAGCAGGCAGAAGGACCTAAGCACACTGCTGAGGGGAGCAGCGGGGGGGGGGGGGCAGGAGAGGTCTAGGCCATGTGGGACCCTCCGGGGATCAAACCAGCACGGCAGAGGCTGCGGGCAGCTTCGCAACCCAGCGTTCAACCGCTGCGCCACCGGGGAGGCCCTGTAGTCATTTTGTAATATGTACATAAATTATGTTGTACCTTAAATTTATACATTGTTATACATCGATTATAATTTAATAGAACGAAAAAATTTTAACATTTTTTAAGGTAGCATTGATTTATGAAAATTAATTTTTAATTAAAGAAAAGAAGATTAACAACAAGAGTTTGGAGTAATGTGAATAAAGCGTCTGTGAGCCAAGGAATTCAGATTTACACTTGAAAAAGGGAAGAAAACTTGCCAAAGGAACACAGTCCTCCTATACCTTGATTTTAAACTTGTGACCTCAAGAAGGGTAAGAATAAATTGTTTTGGTTTTCAACCACTAAGTTTGTAGTAATTTCTTATAGCAGCAGTAGGAAAGTAATACAATCGGTGCTGGATGATTTTCACATGATGATGCAAAGAGAGGAACTACAGGTTTAGCCAAACCTTAAGGAGTACCAATCAGGAGTTGGTGCTATTTCCGATCTTCACAATGCATTGGTTTCCCTTTTTTTTTTTTTTTAAAGATTTATTTATTATTTATGCATACAAGAACTGGGGTACAGGCCAGAGGTATGGGGGGGTGAGAGGATTCACCAGAGACAGAGTGGGGAACAGAACAGGCAGATTGACTGAAATACACCACGAGGGGTGCAGCGGGTGAGTCAGGGGAGGTTTGCTGTGCCATGTGGGTAGCTCCCTGGCTGGGCATCAAACTCGTGTTGCAGTGGCTGCGGATTGCTTCATAGGTTGCATCTTAACCCCTTGCATCACCAGGGAGGCCCCCCACAATGCATTGGTTTCTATTATGCACAATCACCAAGAATCATTTCTCTGTTCCTTTTGTACATTAAACAGAAGGATTTCACTGAATTCTGCTTGATAAGGCTAAACTGGCATCATTTCCCAGGGATGTTTGTCTACTCTGTGGTCTAAAATTTGTTATATAATGGAATTGCATAGCCATTTCTGGAAAGAAGTGCATGATTCCATTTATATGAGGTACTTATCATAGTAAGTCAAGGGAGGGAAAGAAGAATAGAATAATGGCAAATGAGAAGTAAGTTTTTAGAGGGCAGAGTTTCAGTATGGGATGATGAAACATTTTTGGAGGTGGATAGTGGTGACGCACAACAATGTGAGTGTACCTAATGCCACTGAACTGTATCCTTAAAGATGACTGAAATGGCAATTATATATTTACTAGAAATAACAACCACAAAAGGTTATATCATAAACTTTGGCTCTTTTTCTGGCTATGAATTTCAGTTTTGTGTTTTGCCTGGTTTTCTTTTTCTGCAAAGAGCATTTCCTTGTCCATACTGAAGGAGTGAACCAAGGAATGCATGAAGTAGATTGTAAATAAGCTCCTTTAGGACAAATGATTTTATTTTCTTTATGCATCTTCATAGTTCTGGTCATAGAAAGCTATAAACTCATAGGTGAAGGAACGGCCCCCAAATTCACTGACTCTGTGAGAAAAAATGTAAATAATGTCCCATTTCCTCTTTTATAAATTGTTTGAGTTATTTATAGAGCTCTTGAAACAATATGTACTGTTGCTATAGAGGATTATTAAAAGATCTTTCCAAATTATCTGGCAGTTTTTTTTCCATCTCTGTTGAACTTTGTGTTATAAGCAAATGTACACCAGTGAGAAGAGTTTGGTTTTTTTTCAAACTTAAGAATCAAGTTTTGAAGGATGAATATTTACAGGATTAAAGTTAATAAACCAACTTGAAATTAAGTGAAGATTCATACTTTTTAAGTATCTAAAATAGTTCAAAATATCTGAATGTTATAATAGAGGAAATTGAGAAAGCAAAGTTACTTAGATTCACAGAGGTGACATATGAATGGTCCTAAATTCCCGCAATGCAGAATCAGCAGCTTCTTCTTGTCCTCCTAGACCTCTGTAAGACCTTTATTTAATGTGTAATGCATTGCTTTGTGCTCTACCCTCTGCACCCCAACAAGAATGTGAGCTCTTCAAGGGCAGAGACCATATTTTATACAGTTTTCTAACAAAGTACCTGACTAATATTTTTGGACTGAATAAGCGAATGAACAGAAGTCATATACTACCTTCCAGAGGTTTGTAGTCTATTTAGAGTCAAATAAATGCTCTTATTATTGTATAGGGTTATAACGATATTTTTTGTATAAAGTAAAAAAAGCAATTTATTTTGTCCTTTATCAATACATTGCATTTAACTGTTATATTTGAAAGATCGTATAATGAAAAGGAATCCTGTAATTTAGGTTTCACCACCAACTTGCTGTGTTATTTTGTACAAATCATTTAATTACCCTAAACCTAACTTTCTTCACCTGCAAAATGGGATTATATTTACCTTATTTCTTTATAAATTTGTAATGAGGAACATTTTTAAGAAAGATTTTCAGAAGTTAATGTTCCCATTCAATTATGGCCTATAATTTTTATTCTTTTTTTTTTTTTTTAAGATTTATTTATTTATTTATACAAGCACTGGGGACAGTCAGAAGCGCGGGAGGGTGAGAGAATTCACCAGAGTCAAAGCAGAGAGCAGAGCAGGCAGACAGACAGACGAAGCACACTGCTGAGGGGAGCAGCAGGCGGCAGGAGAGGTTTGCGCGCCATGTGGGACCCTCCTCCGGGAGCAGCCAGCGATTGAACCAGCGCTGCAGAGGCTGCGGGCAGCTTTGCAACCCAGAGCTCAACCGCTGCGCCACCAGGGAGGCCCTAATTTTTATTCGTTTTTTGTCTACTCAATTGTTCTATATATGTTATCACCAAATAATATCAGGTTTATTCACTCAAAAATATTTATTAAGGACCTGCCCTTAGTTCTTAATTCTCTAATATTACTTTTTACTCCCCAAAAGTATGTTCTTTTTCTTATAGCAATAAATGACAAATCAGAATCACTGACTTCTTTTAGGTAGTGTATAAAAATGTTAGGCAAGTATTAAATGCAGTGTTATTTGTAAAATATTCAAAATCCTTTTCCAATCATTCAGTTGATACTTTTGTACTGCCTTTATGTTTTACCCTGCCCATGATAAATATGAAACATTATATATACATGTATATATACATATGTGTATATATATGTATACATAAACTATATGTATAGTTTATCAGCTCACATGGAGAAATTAGATAATAGGCAATTCATTTTCCTTCTTCGTGTTGCACTATAATAATGGATATCAGAATCCAGATGTCTTTGATCTTTTTTCCTTAAGTTTCCGAACATAAAAATATTTTAGTAAAATAAAGCCAAAATTATAATACCAAACTTCCCACTGGCAATAGAGTTGTACACTATAGTCTCACCCCTGTCCTTATCCCAGCTCTTTATCTCACATGTAGGTAGAAGTAGATTGTGAAGAAGGCCCAATATATGCACCAGCAGATCACACTTTCATTAATGACCCAGGCAAAAAGAGCAGAGCTGCCCTACTGACCTCAGCTCCAATTGCTCACCCACAAAATCATAAGCAAATAACATAATGGTTACTTGGGGGTACTTTATTATGCAGTAATAGGTCATTGACACATTGCCTTGAATTTCATGTCAAAACTTTGGTAAATTGAAGTCATCCTTTTTGCACTGTATATTTTATTGTTAATTTTTTATTCTGATAATCAGCCAACTGAATTTACAAAACTTTTCTAATTCTTTTCCTCTTTGAAGATTAGTACAAAAATATTTCTGCCTGAAAGTTTCCTAATATGATATCTTTACTTATTAATATGGAGTTCTACTCAGCATGCTATGTATATGTTTGTTCTAAAATTTTGTTGAGATTCATTTTTGTTTTAGAAATAATGCAGTATTTGTCCTTCAAGATTTAGCAGTCTACTATCTGCTTTTAAAGTTTTTGTGATGTTTGTAGTTTTACGTTGTGAAACTTGATCACGTACTTATATATTTTCCTTAAACCAGACTCTGCTTGAAAATTTACAAGAAAGAGGTACAAAGACTTACTAAGTTGTTATGGTCTTAGGAACAAACTAGAATGTTATCTAGGTTTTTTTTACTCATGTTAACATCTTTATTCACAATTTTTTCCCAAAGTCATCAAGGTAAACACTATGGTTTTCTCTTTAATCCTGTTGCTACCTCCAAGGTGCGCCAGGGAGTTTAAGGAGAAATACACTAAATAGTGAGCCTCCCCTGGTGGTGCAGTGGTAGAGCGCTGGGTTGTGAGGCTGCCCGCAGCCTGGGCAGCGCCAGTTCGATCCCTAGCCACCAGCAAGGGTCCCCCCCCCCACACACAAAAAAAAAAACCCTAAGAAATACACTAAATAGTAAAGGAGAAGATACATCACACATTTTGACAAAGATTGTGTGTTGTCTACCTACCTATACTATCTAATGATTTAAACATCAGTTTTTCACTTATCTTAATTTTATTCATATAATATTGCAGTGCGTTAAGACAAATGTCCTTCTCATCTTACCTAAGAGAATAATGAAAATAGCCTACACGGCATTCAATTATGGCCTTTCTGAATGCACTGATTATAAGGAAAATGAGGCATCCCTGCTTAGTTTGCTCTTTAACCTTTAGACCGTGTAGGACTCAACATGGAGTTCGGGATTCTAAAGATTCATAGACCTCTGGTTTTTAAAACCTAACTTAGAGCCTCATCTTTCACTGCATTTCCTGATCCCTGTCACTCCCTTGTTTGTACCCCTTTTCGTACCTTTCAGTATTTGTCAAACTTATATGGGGTAGATGCCCAGGAAACACTTCTTAAGTAAATGCATGAAGTGTCAATGCTGACTTAGCAGCAGTATGGCACCTACTTTAGGGGTTTTATGACAAAGGTGTGTATATCACTGCAGGATAAACCAGTGAGCTGGAAAGATCATGGTCTGAAGAGTTATGGACCAGCTCTCAGTAAAAGTCAGACCCCTTCACTGATTCAAATTATAGTCACTTAGCACTTGTCATAGGGCTACTATTCTCACTAACAAAAAAAAGCATCCTGTTTTTTTCTCCTCTGTAATATAGATGTACTAAATGACAGATTTTTAAGGAACTACCATGGAATAGTGGCCAGATGCACAAGCTTTAAAAGCCAGTCCATTTGGGATGATAACCAAATCCTGGTTAGCTTTCTAATGTTGAGTAAAGTTACTTTATCTTATGAGCCTCTGTTTTCTCAGGTATAGATGAAGATAACATCTATCAGTGTTGTTGTTACTATTGAAAGTATGTCTAATGTTTAGAATAATGCTTGGCACAGGAAAAGTGCTCAATTAGTTACTACTATTGTCAGCTATGGATTTAAATTGGAAAATTTAGCTAAGC